ATTATATTATATTATATTATATTATATTATATTATATTATATTATATTATATTATATTATATTATATTGACTGTCCTATATTATACTATATTATGCTATATTATGCTATATTATGCTACGCTATGCTATGCTATACTGTTTATAGCCACTTCCCATCCAAGGACCACCCATTGTTGAAACAAAATCTAGGCAATGCTAGAGGACCTTGGTATATCCCTATCAAGAAATGATGCAAATAATTAAAATGCAAATATACTAGACCACACTGGCTGTTGGGATGGGGATGGAGGATCGTTTTAACCTTCTGGGCTGTAGATTTTCTCCCACTGATGCACACAGCATCAATTGTGATTCAGCAGAGGGCAAGATGGTGACAATGACCATAGCTGTGACAGGACAGTCATCCACTTGCAGGTCAGGGCAACACACAATGAACTGAGCGGAACCCAGTCAGCTGATGATGAAGTTAAAAAGCTACACAAAGTGGAACGGTTTGTAAGCAGAAGTTACATCACAGGGAATAACCAACCTGCCAGAGGCTTCCAAGCAGGATCTCGAGTTGGGAGAAACTACCACCAACACTGAAAATTTCTTAGGTAAAATTTAAAAAGAAAGTTTACAAGTGATTTTGTTTTTTGAGAAGAGGATAAATTTAAACTTCTCACCAAGGAAAGGGCTCAATATATTTAGGATTATCAATCATATATAAAATAATAACACATGAAATAAAGAAATCCTGTGGAAGGCATATGCTCCTGTAAGGTAGGCTCTAATAGTTTTTACTCCTCAAGAGTAGACTGTGTGTCCCATCCATCAGAAGAAGTCTAATAGAATATCTGTCCACTCACTACCTACACAAACCGGTGCTTCACAAACATTTGCCACAGAATATAAACGTGCGAGCCAGGTTTCAGAAACAACTGTGCATCTTCCCAACTAACGTGACAGACAAGGGCTCGTTCTGGGGACTGTGTGGTGCAGCTGTCATGACCAAGCACCTGCAAAGGCACTTATAAAGATCTAGGGATGACAGATGACTCAAAGCAGTGACTGGAAACTCTCAACACACTATAGCAATTTTTGAAATAAGTCACCATTTGGTGTCTATTCTGCAGTTATTAACATTCCCTAGGTACAGCCCAAGTGGTTTAAAGTAGAAAAAGACACGTCTCAGGTAAGGCAAACCAAAAGCCAGAAGTGGTAAGTTGATATCTATTTTCTTTTTTTCTCCCATCCCAAACATCTGGATTTTATTTTATTTTATTTTCCTAGTGAAGGAATCTAGTTAGACTCTACTGGAATGAGTCATCTTTTGGATAAAACTTCTTTCCAAGTGACAGTTCTTCATGGTTGTAGGTAGAATTTCATTTTCAATCATGGGTATGAAATTGACATTTGAAACCAGGCAAATATCTTACAGAGAGAGGTGTGAAAGGGAGCCGTCCCAAGTCTCATTTGACACCATTCATCTCCAATGCTGCAAATAGCTTCCAGATAAGGGGACTTTCACACCCAGCCTCACTCCCAGCTGCGGGGAAACCATATGGGCCGATGAGCAGGGGCAGGTGTCCTCCCAGCAGTAGTCTCAACCCGCCTGCTACAGACCTCTCATTAACGGACACAGAGACCCCAGATCTTGCTGTGCTAAGGCAATTTTTCATTTTTTTTAGATTTATTTATTTAGGTTATGTATATGAGTACACTGTCTTCAGACACACCAAAAAAGGGCATCAGATCCCATTATAAATGACTGTGAGCCACCATGTGCTTGCTGGGAATTGAACTCAGGACCTCTGGAAGAGCAGTCAGTGCTCTTAACTGCTGAGCCGTCTCTGCAGCCCCAGAAATTTTTCATTTTATAGTCTCAAGCAGTGAATTTCCCAGTCTTGCCTGTGAATTTTAGGATGGAAAGCAGAATCTAACCGACAACACAGGTGGGAAACGCTGTGAGCAGCCTCTGTAGGAATCCAGGAGAGGTGCAGGCCTCCTCCCTCAGCCTGTTGAAGAAAACAACAAAGGAAGCCTACTGGGTCTGGGGGTGAAGCTGGCAGAGAGCTTGTCTCAAATGCTCACAGCAGCAGCAGATTGGATCCCCAGCACACCACAGAGACACACTGCAACATGAGGACTTCCAGTCTTTAGCTTAGAGGGCTGATTTGGGGGCAGTCATGACTCCAAATGCTTTTCACATTTTACCTAATGGAATCCTTACACATCAATGAGGTATATCATTAGAGGCACTATTCTAAGGACCTTCTCTTTATTTCATTTAATCCCACCTCTCAATCTCTCTCTCTCCTTCCCCCCTCCTCTCTCTCTGTCTCACACACACACACACAAACACATACACAGACACACACACAATAATATATGTTATATAGACAGAGAAACTGAGGCATCAAAAACATTAATTTTCAGTACGTCATAATACAGTCTTTTGAAATCAGGTATGCTGTCATCAATACACATATTACAATATGCCAAAATACAGGTTTACTCAACACTGTTATATTTATAGATGAAGGCCTGCTGGAGCCAGGGAGGTGGCTTGCCAGCTAAGAGCACCTGCTTCTCCTACAGAGGACTCTTGTTTCCCAGCATCCACATGGTGGCTCACATCTGTGACTCCAACTCTGGCTGCCACGGGCACTGTATGCATGTGGTATACACATGTGTGTGTAAGCAAACACTCATACACAGAAAACAAAAATAGATCTTTTTTGTTGCTTTTTAAAAGAAAGTTCTACTGTTGAGTGGGGAACTAGATATAGAGGTGGCTTTGAAGGAATTTCAGGTCTCAGTTTGAACTCAAAATAGAAAGAATCTCAGGTTAAACTTAAAAATTAACTGCCCCAGGGACACATCCCGGGAGGAGCACATTCCAAAGACTTACACACACATTCCAGGAGAAGGGCCCAAGATAAGAGGTAATCAGGAAGCTGGGCCCTTAACATAATACATCTGGGTAAACAGAAGCTACTTAGCTAACCCTCATTGTTATAATGTGCAAATCTGAGTTACCTAGGAACTGGGCCTGGGAACAGCTGTTTGAGATCAGCCTTTGTGGTTGTTTAAGAGGTGATTGTAAAACTGCCCTCATGAACTCTGTGAAAATGGTATAAAAACTATTCTTGGCTTTGGCTCGGGGTCCTCTTGCCTGCGTGCGAGGGAACCCCAGTGCACTGATTATCAATAAACCTCTTGTTATTGCATCGAATCCACTGTCCGTGAGTGCTTCTGCAGGAGCACGTCCCTTGGTTTGGATCTTAGAGTCCAACAGCTTGCCTACAGAACCTAAATTCCACCAACAGCCAAAATTTCTGCCATCTTTTGTAAATTCAACTTTTAACATAATCCAAAATGCTAGGAAACACTCTGTTTCTATCTGTGCACTTTTCAGAGCACTATAGGATCAGAAAGCCCCAGTCCCTCTGCTTCCCATCAGAAGTCTGACTGGTGGATGTACATACTTTGTATGAGTTTAAATAGACCGTGGCTGTTCTGGTCTGCAGCAGAGCAGTAGCATCTCAGAGAGCACAGTCTGAGCACAGCATCAGGGGCAGGGACGATACCCAGCCGAGCCTGCAGCAGGGGACAGAGCTGAAGACATGCCATGTTCAATGCCTGGAGGCAGGTGGTTTTCAGGACTCTTCCTGGGTTCCCCTCACAGGGCATATGGGTTAGTTCTTTCTGTGAACCTAACGTTAATATTGTCACCCCTTAACTCTGAGGATAAAGGGGAGGGTGACACTATTCTGTACCGTTAAGATGGCTTCGGGTCTATCTCCTCTGAGTCTCCTACTCCTCAACAGCCCATTTTGACACTCTCCATCATAGACCAGCCTTGATGCTCATTAATAAGATCTAGCGCCTCACTCAAAGGCATGTTTTACAGGCTGGTCTGAGAATACCTTGTCTAGTGCAGGAGAGGAACACCACTAGATTTTCTTGGTTATAATTCAAATACAAGGGATGTAAAAAACAAAAAAAACAAAAAAAAAAAAAACCCAAAAAACAGCAGAGAGGCATGCAGTGAGTAGGAAAGCAAGGGGCAGGCTGAAGTTGAGGAACAGCCAGCCTTAGCATTGACTGCAGAGGTGTGAGCAGGAGGAGGCCAGCGGCAAACAGCTCTTTAGTGAATGAGACTCACCAACTAAAACATGCAAGTACTGGCTTCCTCATGCTTCTGTCCTAGTGTCCTAGGAGCCGACCTCTGCAGTTGTCCCTGAGGTCCTTTACCCATTGGGCCATGCCAATTGGAGATGGTAGCAAGGCAGCCCTGCCACACTGCAGGCATGCCTTGTACCAGGCTCTCAGGGTGGCTGCATCTCCCCAGCAGGGCCTCTGCCAAGATGCTCTCCACACCCCCAGTTCTCCCAGACTTCCACTTTTACACCCAGGGTCACAATAGTGTCACTATTTTGGGTATTTATTTGAGCAGCCCACCTGGTTCCCCTCCGTCTGCCTGTGCCTCCACAACAGTTTCCTAGTGACGTCATCCTCCAAACTCACACTTCACAGCCTCTTGTTTTATTGGGAACAATGTATGACTTGACATAGAGAATAACTATCACAAAAATGGGGGACAGTAACAGTCTATCAGAGCAGTGTTCATATTCTCTATGAGGGCTGTGGAGGCGTGTGTGTGCATTTGTGTGTGTATATGTGTGTACATGTGTGTTCATCTGTGTGTGTGTATGTGTGTGCATTCATGCCTGTGCATGTGTGTGCATTTATATGAACATGTGCATTCATATGTACATGTGCGTATGTGTGCATTTGTGTGTGCATGTGTGTGTCATATATAAGCACGTGTGTGCCACTGTATGCAGAGGCCAGAAGTCAGCATCAGGTTTTGTTCCCTATCATGCTCCACTTTATAAAATACAGTGCTTAGAAGCTATTAAGATGACAATGTTTTCACGTAAGCCTGTTGTTAGGCCTGAGGGCCTCTTTTAGCCTCTTCAAGAGGAATGCTGAATTCCTCTCTGTCCATACAACACAAGGTTCCCCCCCTTCCCTTGTTTGCCTGTCTCATCCTTTCAACTGTGAAGACCTGAGCAGGACTCTGTGAACCCCCACTAACAGATACAAGAGTCGGGGTGCAGACATTTTGTTTGGTTAGGAATATAGTAATGAGCTGAGTCACATGTTCCTAATCACAGTGTTTATTAAACCCACTACTTTTAAATCAGACACTTGTTGAGGCCCTACTGTGTGTCAGGTATCATACTAGACTCAGGAGACAAATGATGAACAAAATACACACAATCCCTGCTGGGAATGGTCAGGGTTGGGGGATGAAGGTAAGGAGGGAGGAAGAAGGGCTAAAAGGAGGTGTAGAAAGAGGCAATGAAAAAGTATGTAAAAATAGGCTTTTAATTATAAACCCTGTCATGCAATTCATGGGAACGAGATAGGAGGGTAACGGATTCCATGAATAATGTCATCCCTGTTGAAGGGCTAGACCTGCTATTGGCCACAGGATTCATCTGTAAAATGAAGAAACTTTGTATGGATACAGAAGAGATTAGGCCCTGGTGACCGTAGAATAACTTGTCTAGTAAAAGCACCTGGGCTAATACTCTGAAGCTTGGTACGGCCGACAGCATGTCTTCTGCTACTGAGCATGAACTACAACTGGTTAGGATAATCATGCATTTGGTCATCAGGCTGTAAGAAAGTGTGAGCACAATGCCCTCGCCCTGATTTCAAGGTTTCCTAAGTGTCCAGTGAGTCTTCTGCCCAGCAAGGATTTTAGTGCTTGAAGAGTTGTGGATAAAAGCCAAATGGAGCAACAGATGCCATCTGTCTCCTGGATGGGGGAAGACATGAAAGGTCATGAGCATGGTTTTCCTTTTTGTCTGAGGAGCTGGAAGTGGTTTTAACTCAGGTGAAGACAAGAAGCATTTGGATCAACTCCTCTGGAAGCCAAGAGGCCAGTGTTGGATACATGGTTTTGAGTGATTCCCACTTCCTGGGACATGGTGCATTTAGAGCCCCCTTAACTGTTGCCCTGCCTCTGACCACTGCCTCACCAGCATATTGCTGCTCTGGGGATACAAGTGATAAGAGCTAACAGTGCATCTGCACCTCTGAAAGACGGGAAAAAACTCTGAAGGATGAGGAGAAGCATCTATCTGCCTTTTACATTCTTTGGTTTCCCAACATCTTGAATAAAGCAAGGATTTGTCTCCAGTGTGTCTCCTCACTTGGTGATCTGATCTACTAAAGACAAAAAGCATTGAATTTTGGGGGGTCTTATTTGAGTAATTTATACCTTTTGATGGTTTTATGTAACATTCAATATTCAGGAAATAGCTTTGTTATGTGCCAGACATTTGTTAGTTTCAAGGATTAATGAGCTTGGACCCACATGGAGCCTGGCCTTGGGGGATTCACAGTGCAGCCACAGAGACAGACAATTAAACTAGCCATTGCAATAAATTATGCTAAGTGTTACATAGGTTAATCAAATGTACTTACAGTCTCCAAAGTCAAGAAAGGCTTCCCAGAGGGAAAAAAAATTCTTTAAATGAATATCTAAAGAAGGCAAAGATCTGAATGTGGAAAGGTAGTGAGTGGGTGGGGACTCTTCTCAGGACAAGTCATCCAAGCTTTTTCAAGAGTGATGTGCAAAGGCTTTAGGTGAGAGGGCTGTGCTAAAGGAAATTTACTCTGCTTGTAGGAAAAAAAAAAAAGGAAGAACAAGGAGGAAGGCAGTTCCCACCTGCCTCAGGAGCCAAGGTGAAGAAGGTAGCTTCATTTGAAGGTCACTGGGAGGCACCAAAGGGGTCTAAACATGAAGACTCATGCTTACTTTCATGTCATAGACAGATCTTGTTTAGTGTACTGTGTAGTGTGGGCCAGAGGACTGCAAGGCTGGAGAAGGGTCACTTTTAGATGATGGTAATCCAGCTAAGTGGTAATGCTGATCTGGACTAGGGTGTTGGCTGAAGACACACATAGCAACAATGTTGAGCAATATAAGTAAGGCAAAGGACATACTGATGAACTAGACGCGTACTGAGGGCTGTTCTTACGCCTTGAACCTGCCTGCCGCAGTGAAGTCTGAGAAGGAGCAGAAACAGTAAGAAGAAACATCGTTAGTAAATTTTACATACAAGGACTTGGAAGTGGTTTTAAGGTACTCAAATAAAGACGATAAGCAGTTGGATCAACCTCTCTGAGAGATAGAAGTCGGGAATTCATTAGCAGATAGATGGTGTTGTGTCTTCATGGGAACTGTCCCCAGGGGGCTCATGCATTTGAACATGTGGTCACCAGCTGGCAGTGCTATTTTGGAAGGTTGTAGAACCTTTAGGAGGCGGAGTCCTGCTGGAGAAAGTAGGTCATGAGGGGCGGGCCTTTCCTAGCCTGGCTCCACTTCTTGTGTCACTCTGCTTCCTGACAGCACATGACACCCACTGCCACACCCTCCTTGAGTGATGGACTATATCCTCTCTTGAACTGTGAGCCCAAATCAACTCTTCCTCCCTTCAGTTGCTTCTTGTTAGGTGTTTGGCCATAGGGACAAGCAAAGTAACTAATACAGATAGCAGTTAAAGCCATGGCTATGGAGCGTGTGTGTAGGAGTGGGTACTGGGAAGGAACCCTCACAGGCAGTGACCCTCAGGGAGAAGAGCCTGGAAAGGAAGATTAGGGGAGAATGGTAGTGTGCATGGAGGTTGCCCCAGAGCCCCAGAGTGTGGGCAATGATACCCTGGAGGCAAGCTGCTGGAGGGTACATCCTGGATGCACCAGTCAATGAGGTTGTCTTTACCAACACACTTACCTTCCAGAGCCTTGGTCTCCCTCATTTTAAAGCAAGAGCAATAACACTACTATAACACCCACTTCACCAAGTTGTCCCAAGGAGATGATCTGATCTATGCAAAGTGCCTTAGAACATTGCCTACCATGTGCTGCGTCCTTACCAGGAGTTTATTTTTAAGTGTATCGGATAGTAAGCAAATTGCAGCATCATTCAGTGGGCAAGAAATAGAGTCCCCAGAGAGCAGAACTCTCTAACAACAGGCTGCTTACACCAGTTCCCTTCTGTAAGCTGCTGATATTCACAAGCGCCTCCAAATCAGATTTGTCTCTGAGTACAGCATTTACTTAGCAAGCAGAACTCCTTTGTCTCTTTAGTTTCCCCAACCATCCAACAAGTAGGAAGACTTGTTTCTCAACTGAGATTAACTTACTGACATCATATGGAACCTAAAGGCCAAATGGGAATTTGAACCCAAGTTTTCTGGTTGCAGGTTGGTCCCATTCTGGTCTTTCTTGGAAATGTTTGTGGCCGCCTTACCAGCAAACAAAATGTTTTGAGATGGTTTTTGCCTAAAGTAACTCCTGCAGGGTTTGCTGTGAACCCCCAGTGCTATAAACGGGGCTGTGGGTTAAAAGGCATCAGGGTGTAATGCTTGTACCACCATGTTCTTGTACTTCTTCCTCCCATATGAACAATATGAAATGCCAGTGGTCAGTCCCTGTCCAAGTCACGATCAAACCATGGTGTGTAAAGTATTAGCACTATTACTAATAAGCTGGGAGGGAAAAAAAGAAGCTGAAGTTTAATTTTTTTTTTCATTTTACTTGGTGTCTTAGTTAGGGTTTTGCTGCTGTGAACAGACACCATGACCAAGGCAACTTTTATAAGGAAAACATATAATTGGGGCTGGCTTACAGGTTCTGAGGTTCAGTCAATTATCATCATGGTAGGAACATGGCAGCATCTAGGCAGGCATGGTGCAGGAGGAGCTGAGAGCTCTACATCTTGTTCTGAAGGCAGACAGAAGAAGACTGACTCCTCAGGTAGCTAGGAGAAAGGTCTCAAAGCCACACCCATACTTCCTCCAACAAGGCCACAGCTCCTAATAGTGCCACTCCCTGGGCCAAGCATATTTAAACCACTCGCATCTAAGAATATCTAGCATGTGTGAGAGATAGATAGATAGATAGATAGATAGATAGATAGACAGATAGAGTCTGTCTGTCTGTCTGTCTGTCTGTCTGTCCATAGTCCAAATTTTGTGACCCAGCTTCAGATAAAATATAATACTATGTGGTTAGAACACCAATGAGTTATATGGTATCTTCAAGTCTGGGTTTATGTACACATGACTTAGTCAAAAAGGCTTGTTCTACAGTGACGTTGTGCTGCTACAACCCGGACTGAGAGGTGAGTCACCATGACATCAGGCACTTCATCAAAGTTCCTCTACTTGATGGTCTCCAGGCAACATGGGGCTCAGAGCAGCCACAATTAAAGTTGGAGTATCTGGTGTGGGAACGGCTGCTGATCATTATGGTGTCAAGAAAGATCCTGGTGGGCCTGGACGCTGGAGTGAAAGTGGGCATTTAGCCTTTCTTTCCTCCCAAAGCCTACAAATGACAGCAAAAGGATTTTATCACAGGCAAACACCTACAGGAACAAAGAAGAGATAACAGTGACGAAATCACGGATGTTGGAAAGCAGATGGGCAAGTGGTGACTGACTCAACAAACCTGAAAATGTCTTGGGGGGGGGACAAAAAAACCAACCAGACTTGCGTTGTGTAACCGCCACATGGCTCAGGAGCCTGCAGGACTAGGTATCCTGAAAATCACGGTCGACAGGGAAACTAAAGGCAAAGGGGATGAGAGCCTTTTTGGGAGTCTGCTGGGCCAGGTGCCCTCTCTCCATGCAGCTATATAGCCAACAAACGGCCCTGTCCCCCTACCCACCACTCCTGGCTCTGCAATAGGATCCTGTAGTGGCTCCACTAGGAGTCTAATATGTGTCTCTGTGGCTTGACTCTGCCACAGAAATGTTGTTATTGTCTGGGAGGCTTGCTTTGGTCCCTGGGACATGGGCAGAGGTGACAGTGAGCAGTGAGCAGTAAGCTTTCAGCATAAAAGACACCGTATCTTTCCATTCCGGTGTTGAATTTCTGATACAGCTTTGAGAAGAATATGCCCTGGCTACCCACTAGCTCAAGCACAAATGTCTGTGAGG